TTTGAAGCTTGCACCACTCTCTCAAATGCATTTGGCATAAGCAACAGCCCTAGAAGAGTCCAATTACACATCACCTTGCAAAACATTACACTTGGTGACAAACCACTGGATCAATTTCTTCGCGAAGCTAAGGCTATCGCTGACGAGCTTGTCGCGGCAGGCACACCTGTCTCCTGATGAATTCAATGCCACCATTTTCCAATTACTTCCTTCTGATTATCATCCTGTCATTGCCACATTATCTGCAGAAAAGACACGGGTATCATTTTCTGATCTTTCTAGTAGACTTATGGTTCATGAGATCCTCTTGCAGAACTCTCGCAAACCAATCTTTGTTGTTGCCATTGTTACTCGACAACACACTACATCTGCACGTCAATTCCATCAGAGCTCCCAGAAAAACAATAATGCATCCTCTAAAGGAAACAAGACATGGTTTCATAATCCTTGACAGATCTGTGGACTCAATAATTATCAAGCTAAGTGATGTCGCAAACGTTATGATCCTCCTAATAATATCACTGCCAATGCCGCCAATGTTAATGCTTCTTCCAATGATTGGTTTCCTAAACCTGTTGCTTCTCATCACATGACTCCTGATTTGTCTGCACTTGAGATTCTCAGAGGAGTACAAAGGACCTGACATGGTCACTATAGGCAATGGACATGCTTTGCACATTAAAAACATTGGTCACACTACATTATCTTCTAGTAATAATCAGTTTCATTTGAAAAATGTTTTACATGTGCCTGACATACAACAGTTGTTGTCTGTTAATAAATTTGCTGAATACACTCAATGCTCTTTGAAATTTGACTGATGAGTTTACTGTGAAACAATCAAACAATAAAAAGGTGTTGTTGAAGGGACTAATTGAGGACAGAATTTACAGGGTTCCTATTGCTACATTAGAGGACATTACAAGTCAGAGCAAGCCTTTTAAATCAGTATGGACTGCTGCACCCGATTGGCATGCTCGGATTGGTCACCAACAGTCTCCTTTAATGTTAATATAGGCTTTGTTTGCCTAGTAACTCGATAAAATCCTCAGGCCTATGTCAAGTTTGTTGTTTAGGCAAACATAGTCAGATTTCTTTACCTGTCACTGCCTCTATTGATATAAGCCATTGGAATTGATTCAAGGAGATGTATGGGGACCAACTCCCAACTATCTTTTTTAATGGAAACAAGTATTTTATTCTATTTGTGGATGATTTCTCTCGTTATTATTGGTTATTCACAATTAAACAAAAAAATGAGGTTCTTTCTACTTTTGTTGAATTCCACAAATTGGTTGAAAACAGTTTCAAACCAAAATCATTAATTTCCAATCAGATTAGGATGGTGAATTTTGTACTGTCAATACTTATTTGAAGGAACCTGGTATTCAACATCACATTACTTGTCGTCATACACATCAGCAAAATGGTCAAGTTGAAAGGAAAATCAGACACCTAGTGGATACATGCCTCACCCTGCTCACTTATTCTGCAGTTCCATCTAGATTTTGGAAGTTCGCTGTGCATGCCATTGCATACTTAGTTAACAGGATCCCTACTCAAGTGTTTCAACATGTCTCACTATTTGAAAAGCTTCAGGACACTTCACCAGATTATGAATTGAGTCGTGTCTTTAGCAGCTTGTGTTTTTCTCGGTTACGCCAAGGACCATCATGGGTATGTCTGCTACAATCCTCATGATAGTAAAATTTATCTTAGTAGACATGTTCATATTGATGAAACCTGTTCTCTATAGAAGGAGAAAAAGTTGTTTGATTCCTATGTCCTAGGCATTCCTCCGGGGAAATTTATTTCCACTCATTGGCTCACATTAATTGCGTCAATACAGCAACCTGACTCAATTGTACCATCATCTTCGAAACTTCCACATAATTCAGTAGATTCTTCTAACAACAACAATTCTGGTTTTAGCTTCTCATCTTCTAGTGCTTCTCAAGATCACATTAATTTCCCTTCGGAGCAGAAAATGGATATCCTTCCAACTCCTACTGAGCCATCACAACCACCTGGACACACTTATCCAATGGTTCTAAGACAAAATACTAAGAAGAAGTTTCTGGTTTTCGTCTGTTTCGGATGATAAAAGTTAAATCTTCCTCTGTTACTCTTTCGAAACCAACATGCTACACAAAAGTACTCAAAGTTCCATCATGGAGAAAAGCTATGAGCTCTAAAATAACTGCTTTGATACAACATCAAACATGGGAACTTGTTCCTAAACCATCACATTCCAATATTGTGGGTTGCAAATGAGTTTTCCGACTCAAACACCATCTTGATGGCACCATCAAGCGGTGCAATGATCGCTTGGTAGTCAAAGGATCAAGTTGAGGGAATAGATTATGATGCCACTTTCAGTCCGGTTATCAAGCCTACAACAGTCCGAGTTGTTCTTTCCTTGGCAATCTCCAACAGATGGGCTCTTCAGCAATTGGACATTTTCAATGCATTTCTCAAAGGAAACTTGGAAGCGGATGTGTATACGTCTCAATCTCCTGTTTTATTGATCAATGATGTCCTGATTATGTGTAAATTGAGGATATCAATCTATGGCCTTAAACAAGCCCTACAGGCTTGGTTAACTATTTATCATTACCCAATTTGCGAAACCAAATTAGTATACAAAAAAAGAAGATCAATTCCATTGCCAATAACAGAACGTCATGAGCCCTGAATGCAATTTCTTTCAGTTCCTTCTGGACTAATCTTTCACAATGCAAATAAAGATCTGTTGATTCCTTTTCGAACAACAAAGGAAACAGTAGAAAAAGGGTAAACTTGCTTAACAAGAGTGAAGTTTCTTCTGTACAGAATGGTAGATAACTTCTATTTCCCAACAATGACCTATCGACAACTCCAAATTGCCAAAAACTAGATTGCAAATAGGATTTAGTTTACCATGTAACAGAGGCAGGTAAAATTAAACAAAAAATTTCAGTATACATAAGCTACTAAAACTTTTAAACAAACTCACCTACCAATTTCCATTCAATATCACTCCCAAACCATTCCAGTTTACAACATAATACAAACTAGAACAAAGATCAATACTAAATACAAAACAAATAAGGGCATAGCAAAGTAAAAGTAAGATTTAACTCACCAAAATTAGCTTCAATGTCTTCAAACGATAAAGTTTCATTCTTTCCTACCAAAACCACATTACCAAGAACTTTACAACCCGAAAGACAAACAACACTCAAGTACCAAAATACCCACAAATTCATCATCTCTAACAAACCCTTTCTGCCAATTATCAAGAAAATATGAAGAAACCCAAAAACCCACAAAAACAAAAAGTATCAATTCAATTCACCATGTTCGACTCCACAAGCACATCTCAAATCTCACAAAACCCCACAACACTTTACGCTAATTTTTAAGAAAATCCCACAAAAAGGTAATCTTTTTTTTACTTTGTTGAAAGAATAGAAACATCAGCTTCCATTCTCTATCCAACAAGAAGGAAACATTCGCTTAGTGATAATTTTAGTCCTTTTTTTTTCTTTCCTTTTTCCCTTTTGGGTTTTGAGAGAGGAGGAGAAAAAAAGAAGTTTTTGGAAGGATTTGTGAATTTTTGGTGACAAAGTACATTTAAGAAAGGGAAAACAATAAAAAGAATTTGCTATTTTTATATAAGATTTGAATCATTTGATGGTTTATACAGCGTGTGCTCACTGTTGTGTGATGCTTATCTCAAGCTAAAAATACATTTGAAAAAAAGCTAAAAAGGTTGAATGGCTTTGATTATAGATTATACATGCACAAAATGACCATAATAACCCCACTCTGTTGGAATATACCTCAGGGATCATTGGAGATAGGGTATAAGAATAGTGTTAGTTAAACTTTTTTTTTTTTAATTAAAGATGGGCAAGCCCTTTTTATTGATGGACTACATTACATGAAGATCAGGCCCAACAGAGGACCCGATCCAACACCTAATTAGTCATTAGGAAACAAAATAGAAACAAAAATGGAAAGGGGAAATGGGAAAATGGAAAGTGACTCGCCGCAACAACCATCATCGTCGATGTCTTTCCGGCCATCCTCCAACAACTTGAAATCACAACAACAGTACAACGAGTTTGGGGTGTATTTCATCTCGAACGTTGTCTAGTCTCACCAACATCATGAAATCCTCCCAATCGGAGACTTCTCCCGCTCAGTGTACTTCAATCGAAACTTCATGTCAGGTGATAGCCTCATTCCCTTTGAATATTTGTTCAGCATATACCAAAAAAATGACCTCGTAACCTTCATCCCTTAGCTTTGACAGGTTGAGCCCAACAAGGAGCTAATACCACTGTCAAAAGCTTTGCAACGAGGTTACTGCAGCCTTCTTAGGTATTTTCCTTCATCTGAAATCTGCTCTTTGTCGTTTTACTATTGTCCCTCCGAATAAACTCGTTATTTTCGCAATCTTCAGAGTATTGTATGAATGTTAATGTTGCCTGTTTACGTATTTTCCTTGCTCAGTGCTCTGCTCACTGTTATTGTACCTGTATCTGTATTTTCCTTATTCTGTAATCGACTCACTGTTATTGTTGTTTGTTTATGTAATTTCCTTTTTCTGTAATCTGCTCACTGTTGTTGTACCATTGTCTCTCCGATTGTGATAAACTCGCACTATATTCGCCATCTTCAGAGTATTGTATGAATGTTGTATTTCTTTAAGCTTGAAATATCTGCTTCTTCATATGTTTTGATCACAATCATTTGTCTTGTGCATAATTTCCATTCTGAATCCTCCTTATCCTCAAATTAGGAATTTGGCTTTTATCCATATTTAGAATTGTCTTAGCTTCACTAGGTAACTCTTGGAAATTGTTCTAATTTATAAAATTTGTACCTGCAAAAGAAAACACAATATTAGCCATAAAATTTACCAGTTTGTTTCCCTCTCTCAGTGTGTGTACTATGGCCACCTCCAAACCTTCCTTCAGAATTTGTATCCTTCTGACCTCCATAGTCACTTCCTAAGGTCTGTGCCAAGCCCCTTCAATCATTTTCATTGCAGCTAAAGAATCCGTTTCTAGAATTAGTGGGAGTAAATTGTGGATCCTACAATATTCCAGCCCTAGTCTTATAGCTACCACTTCAGCAATAAGATTGTTTGATAGTCCAATCATATTTCCTTCAGCATACACAAGGTTACCTTGATCATCTCTAATACAAAAAGCAGAAGAGCTTGGTCCTGGATTCCCTTTTGAAGAGTCATCTGTATTGCATTTGAATGTATTATGTCTAGGTAATTTCCAATAAACCACCTTACAATCAATTCTAGGAGTATACCCTGTCAAATATCTGACCAATTCAGGCCAGTTATTAGGCAGGTGGTACATCCAAGGATACAACTGCTTAGCCAATAGAATTAAATTATTTGCTATCCCTCCTCTCATACTCAGATAAGACATAGAACCACCAAATTTCAAGGCACTTCTTCTCTTCCACACTTGCCAACAAATAAACAGTGGCACAGCCATTAAAACAGGTTTAAGTTTTGCAGAAACATCTGCATTCCACCATTTATACAAAGTATTTTTCAACTGCAAGAAACGGCCCTCCACACCTGTTGATCCTGCAAAATATCTCCACATAGAATTAGTGAATGAACATCTAATAAATAAGTGTTCAATAGTCTCCTGAACTCCATCATCACAGCAACCACACACTACCCCATCACCCATCATATTCCTGATAAGAACTTTTCCACTAGGAAGTCTTTGTTTCCATAGCCTCCAATTGAAGAGCGATATCTTAAAAGGAACTCCTGCACTCCAAATATACTTATATTTTAAACAGATTTCTTGCTTCTCCCTTAGAAAATCCCATGCAGAACCTACAGTGAATTTTCCAGAAGTCTTCAGCATCCACCATGGTTTATCCCACTGTTGTTCATCTTCTAAACTCCTCAGGAGTTGTATTACATGTCTACTAATATCATCCCCAAAACTTGTTTGAAGCAAGTCATAGTTCTATTCCCCATTCAAAAAACATTGTTTCACTTCATCCAATTGCACATTTCTAGCACTGTCCAGAGGAACTATGTAATGCAGTGCACCTAATTGTGACCAATTATCATACCAGATACTTGAATGGCCACACTTAGGTTCCTACCAAATATGTTGATCTATCAAACCTCTAGCTTCCAGCATATACTTTCAAGTTAAAGATCCATTTTTCCATTCAACCACCTGAGGTCTCTCCTTTTTACAATATTTATTCCACATAAAGTTAGACCAAATAGTCTTTCTTATTCTAAAGACCCACCATAGTTTAGCAAATAAAGCTTTAGAAATATCAAACAAAAATCTAAATCCCACACCACCTTCATGTTTGGGTCTACATAAATTTGACCAAGCTACCCAATGCTTGTTATTTCCATCCTCCCTAAAATTCCAAAAAAAATTTGCAAAAACTCTATGCAAATCATGAATAACACACCTTGGAGGATTAATAGCAGACAAAAGATAAATAGGTATGTTGTTTAACACATTATGAATTAACACAGCCTCACCTCCAAATGACAATATTTTTCCTTTCTAGGCTTGCAACTTATTGTGCACTTTTTTCATCAATTCTGCAAAGTGTACCTTCTTCTTCTTGGCATGACCAATTGGGCATCCCAAATACATTAGTGGAAACTTGCCTCTAATAAAGAACTCTTTTCTTTATTAATCATCTACCCTGACTGCTTCTCATAATCTCTCAGAGTTGTCATCAATACATCTAATGAATTACCATCTGCTGACGTAAAAATTATAGTATCCTCTGCATAGGCAAGATGATTAATCTGATCACTCCATTTTGGTAATCCAAACCCCTTGTAGACCTCATTACAGAACAAAGCATTTAAGCTTCGAGATAGAACTTCAGCAGTTAGTATGAACAAAGCAGGGGACAGAGGATCTCCTTGTTTCACTCCCCTAGATGAGTGAAAGAAACCATTAGCATGTCCATTGATAAGTATAGAATACCAGTTGTTAGCAACCAGTCTCCAGATTTTATCAACAAAGCTATTATCAAAACCCATTTCTTCCAACACCTTTATAAGAAAGCCCCATTCCACCCTATCATATGTTTTTGCCATATCCAACTTGATCACCACATTTGCTGGCTTACCCCTTTTTCTAATATCAACAATAATCTCCTGAGCAAGTAACACATTTTCAGTAATGCTTCTTCCTTTCACAAAGCCAGACTGATTTTCTGAAATCAGGGATGGAAGAAGAACCCCTACTCTATCATTCATCACCCTTGAGATCACTTTATTAAGAAAATTACTCAAACTAATTAATTGGCCTCATGTCTAAGAAAGATTGACAAATATCTTTCTTTGGAAGTAGGACCAAATGAGTATGTGTAATAGACTTAGGAAGGGTGACACCATTAAAGAAAGCACCAACCACATTAACCACATCATCCCCAACTATATCCCAACATTGTTGGAAAAAATGTCCAGTAAACCCATCAGGACCACTAGCACTGTCCCCATTGAGATCAAACACTACGTTTTTAACTTCCTCTATTGAAGGAAAATCATTTAATCTTCTGTTGTCTTCATCAGTAACCCTTTTCTGAATATGTCTCAATAGAGGGACTTTCTCCATATTATGAATGCCTGTGAATTGCTTCTGAAAACACTCCTGAGCAGCAGCAGACAGTAGCTCTTCACCTTCTACCCATTCTCCATCCTTATTCTGAATTCTGTTTATGCTCAATCTTTTCCTTCTGCCTCTCACTATACTGGGAAAAAACCTTGTGTTCTTCTCCCCTTCTGTAAACCATTGAATACCTGCTTTCTGTCTCCAATACTCTTCTTCAAAATGCACATACTTTTTTAACTCTGCTTGGGCTTTCTGTAAAATCTCTTTATTCCCTGCTGTAGGGCTTATTTCAAATAATGCCTCTTTCACCCTCACAATCTCCTCCCTAATAGATAATTGTTTGAAAATATCTCCAAAAGTTATTCTACTCCAGTTAGACAAGGCAGTTTTAATCTTCTTCATCTTTTGTTTCAATCTAATAAACACATCTACTCCTTCTGAAATCCAGTTATCCTTCACTACCTGCTGAAATTCTGCATGTTCTGACCAAAACTTAAGAAATCTGAAAGGTCTCCTAACAACATCTGTCTTCTGGCCACAAGTTAGTAGCATAGGAGCATGATCAGACCCTGTTCTTGCCAGATGTTCAGATTCCACCAACCCAAAATAGCCAAGACCAACCTGGTTCATCATGTACCTATCCAGTCTTTTAAATATACATTGATCATCAATCCTCCCATTCCACCATGTAAATGGACTCCTTTTGAAACTGTCTTCCACCAGATCACAAGAGTTCACACAAAATGCAAAATCCTCATACTCATTAGGATATACAGGCAGACCACCAATCTTCTCCTCGTCACTCATAATGACATTAAAATCTCCCCCAATCAGCCAGGGTGAATTCTGAATATCATTGCTAATACAGTAAATATCATTCCATAATTATATCCTCTCCTCAACATCACACTTTGCATACACAATAGAAACAATTAAATGTTGATTATTCTCCAGAAACAACAGTTTTAGAGTCAGCATCTGATCAAAGTCTGCCAACACCTCTACCTGAATATTCTCTTGAATAAACACCCATATTTTACCATTGCAGTTATAATTAGAATACTTCATACCCAATCTTCTTTTGAATCTTTGAATGTTATCAGCATTCTGAAAAGGTTCCATCAATGCTATGATATTAAACTTGTGATGTCTATGTAACATTTGAATTCTATGGAATGAATTTTGAGATCTAACAGACCTCACATTCCAAAATAAGGACTTCAACATCATTTGACCTCATTCCTAGCCCTTCTCTTTGGATTTGATCTTGTGGGTAATACTTCCCCTTTATTTTTGCCTTTATGCGTGATTACTGTTTCAGGTGAAACACCTACTTCATTAAACACCAAGTTCTCCACCTGCAGGTTCTCCTTTTCCTTCTTATCTTCAACATCACTAGACTGTGTGAGACCTTTATCATGTATCTCCATTGCCCCTTGATGTGACACTATTTCATATAATTTTTGAACTAGTGGTGATTTTGGACAAACCACTGCCAACTCTGTCATATTGTGAACCTCCTCAATCCCTCCCTGTATTAGTGAACCCTGCAATTGTACAAGATACCATGCTTCGTTTGGGTCCAAAATTTGTAAAGGAATCTAATAATCAGCATTCAGTAAATTCAGTGTATTAGACAAATGATTCTGTGAAGTTCCTTCATCCTCTACATCTCCCCTCTGCATTGCACTACTAACCCCTCCATTAAGAAGCATGATATCCTTGTTGTAAACCGAAACAACCCCATCATGTTTGCCACAATCTTCAATTATTTCTCCATCTTCTTTGTTTTCCATTTCAAGTTTTTCATCAGTCTTGTAGTCTAGCCCATGTGTACTCTCAACCCTTGTAACCACCAGCTCATCTATCTGCTTCTGATTTTGCACCTCTACCTCTACGACCTCCTCTTCCACTAGTACATTTTTATTAAGAATAGCAAAAGGATTGATGTTCTCGTTGATGTCTTTCCTTTCCAGTCCCTTAACAGTCATCAGTTCCCCAACTTTCTTTGTAAAGCTCCTGTTTGTAGGCTTCCATCTACTCTTTACTACCCCCTTGTATAGTTGTCTGTTGTATATGTTCAGTGTTGTATTTTGAGTGTCATCATACTGTTGTACTAACTCTGGATGTAAGACCTTACACTCTTCTTCTCCATGCCCTTGTAATTTACACTTCATGCAATAAGCAGGTAAAGAATCATATTGTATTCTCACATTAATAATTCTTTTCTCAAGAGTGGATTCATCTTCTAACTGCATTTGTACAAACTCAGGCTTCTCAGTAAGCAGATCCGTTTGGACCTTCAATCTAGCACAACTTGGCCGGGTCTTATTTATCATAGCAAGATCCAATTGAAGGGGCTTCCCAACCACAGATGCCAGTGAGAACAGGACTTCCTTCACAAAGAATGTTGGCAGCAAATCAGGGAATGAAATCCAAATCGTAGCCTTTGTCGTCTCTTCACCAGCTTTGAAGTTTGCATCATAAATAAAAGGCCTCCTTTGATATGCATATCTATCCTTAGCAATTATGTAGTAGGAGTTTTTCGATAGAATTTTTATATAATCATCCATCCCATCACATCTAATCAGAACATGCCTATTGCGAAGCAAGCCTATTTGACAAGACCCCCAATAATCCACACTGTTTTGGAATTAAATCTCGTAACTCATTAATATCAGGAGCTCCATAGGAGAATTTGCCTACCACTGCATATTGCAAATTTTCTATGATATTCATTCGTTGTATTTCGCTTGCTGACCAATTAATGGTAGGTATACCACCAATGAGAGTCGGTTTTTTCATAGGAATAGGTTGTATTTCCACAACATTTTTCTCATTACCTGAAGAGCTATGTCCTTTAATAATGTCTGCAAACTTGTTCAGAAATGGAGAATTAGGGATTGTGTTTTGACCAGTGTGCATTTTGTTCGAAAGAGGTGAAAACTGAGCAGATAAGGCAAAGTCCAGCCCAGCCATCAATGGTGGCTGGCCGTCAGCCGGCAACATTCAAACAAGGTGACCTAGTCGCCGCCACAGGAGAAAAAATTACTCACGAAATTAGTAGTCGTTAGTTAAACTTATATTAGTTATGTTGAGATTATTTTTTATGCGATGTTTGATTTGGTGTATCTAAGCAATATGCATTGCATAATATATATATTACCTTATATATAAGCCAACAACAAAAAGGACTAACGCTGCAGTACTTAATTGTACATTATGTTATGTGAGTTGAACTATTTATATTTTATCCATATTTATCTTTATTTTACCTTATCATCTTTATTTCCCAAATTATTTGTTGAACGAGTGTCAACTATCACATGTCTAATATTGATATCAATGACTTAGGTTTAATTAATTGAGAGCTATAACAATAATTTATGTCGAGTTAGGAAAAAAGGCAAATTAATTGAAGGCTATAACAATATTACTTTATATATAAGCCAACAACAAAAAGGACTAATGCTGCAGTACTTAATTGTACATTATGTTATGTGAGTTGTACTATTTATATTTTATCCATATTTACCTTTATTTTACCTTATCATTTTTATTTTCCAAATTATTTTTGAATGAGTATCAACTGTCACATGTCTAATATTGATATCAATGACTTAGGTTTAATTAATTGAGAGCTATAACAATAATTTATGTCGAGTTGGAAAAAAGGCAATTAATTGAAGGCTATAACAATAATCAATGGTGGCTATTTTAAAAGAAATTGGCTACAAAATTAGGACAAAAAAGCAAAAAAAAACTAACAATCCAAGTCTCCCAAAATTAGCTAATTCATGCGTGCTACAAAGGCAAGCATATGAATTGTGCTTCTTCACCCTAAATTTAAGCCATCCAATGCGTTAATTTGTTAGGTTGAAATTTGTCATGATCCCTAATTCTTTGTTAAGCCTTCCTCCCCAGGTGGATGAGTTTCTAACAATAACACACAATGCTTAATTATGTCAGGGACCCAATACAAATGGAGAAAGCAGTTTGAAATACAAATGGAGAAAGAAAATTGAAAA